TTGTTGTCAGGTGAAAGTGGCTTTAATTTTCGCTTTTATTGTCCTGGAGGTGCCAAGATGCCTGTAGGATGGATGGCACATTGAAAGTGAGCAGATATGGAGCATCTTCCATCAAGAATAGACACAGTTCGGTCATGCTACTGTCGGCCAATGAGAAAAAACAGCTATCTGGAATGCGTTCTGTAGAAGAGAAGTTTCAGGATCATTTTGGCAGGGGCAAGATTTTGCTCGGATCTGCTGTGCCTCTGCAAAACACTGCATTCATTATCTCTTTCCATTGATTGAAAATGCCCTTGGTTCAGGGTGAAAGCCGCATGAAACTCCACTCAGTGAAGAGTGATTTTCCTTTTCCCAGTTTCAAAGCTGCCAGGAAGGCCAAACTAACCATGTTTAGTGGTCCAAAAGTTTTGCTGCTCATGTGGACCCGGTGACCTGGGAGCACCCTTGCAGCCCCCTATTTCTAGGAAAAGAGAGATCATTCCTCATCCTGCTGGAGAAAGAAGGTTGTGCTGTCCCCTGGTCCTTTTACATATTGCCTTCCTCTCTCAGACCCAAAAGGATTTTGTGCCCACATATCCCGTGGGGCAGTGGAAAAGGAAAGCAGCAGCTATGCTGCTTGGATGGGAGTAGGAAATGGTCTAATCGTTTCCATCCTGGCGTTGGATGAAGCTTTGGGCCCCACTTTGAACAAGCGGATGGCCTGACACAGCATTCAGCAATATTTTGCTGGCATGCTTAGTGAATTTAAGGAGACGAGCAAGCCTCTTCCAATCTGCAGCCTTGAGATTTGCCCAGCTGGACCCCCTGCCTCTAGGATAAGCTGTTAAACCTGTTGATCAAGGGCTGAAAATAGAGGAGGGGTTCACTGCACTGAAGGGCGATGCTTAATTTTACCCATTTGAGCCGGGAACAGGACACAGAGACAGGAACCATTTGCAGGAACTAGCAGCAAGTGCCTCCCAGATATATTAGTACCCAGGCTCTTGCTGCAGTGGTGATTGCTGTGTCACAACCTCTGGAAGGATTGCTTTGCTTTTGCATCAAATGGAGGAGGAGAAAAGCTGCAGTGGGGGAAAGGGGTCTTATATACATGGCAAGTGCTGAGAGAGCAAGAGCACCATGTCCCTGGGCTAAATGCAGGGAGCTCAGTGATCTCAGTCTGGTCCCCAGCAAATGAATGGTCGTGTCACAAAATGTAGCCAGCACGGATGTCACAATTGCAGCAGAGTTGATGGATGGGCATAAAGACAGAGTTAGTGTCTTGCTTCAAGACAGAGGCATGTGGAGGGAAGTTTGCTGCTGCACCCGGTTCACCCTTTTTCTGAGTAGGAACCATCAGTCACTAGATCTGTCAGGCCAGCCAGCTTCACCGGTACAGAATTCACACCAAGCACATTTGTCTTGAACACCCGGGTGTAAAAACAAGGAGAGCTCCAGGCAGGGAAGCGGTTGCCCAGGCCGTCCATCCGTGTCAAACCTCCCCAGCGCCAGCACCCTCTGTTCCCACCACACACAGTTTAGACCCCCTTAGGGCCAAACCTGCCTTCCTCTCTCATGTCATTGAGGCAGCAGGATTCATTGCAGTTACACATGCAGCTAAAAGGAGAAGGATTTGGACTCAGGCTTTCAATGTTTATATTGAAACCTTTATTGGAGATAAATACGTGGAGAGCTGGCAGCAGCCGCTTGATTTGAGTAGTTCTGTCCTGGTTTATATCGTCTCTATAAGCCCAGTGAATCCCAAACCAAGAAGAAATCTTCATGATCTAGACACGGCGGGACTGTGACTCAGTGGTCAGGGAGCAGAGATACAGAACCTCTGCCACTGGGCTGCTGTGTGACCTTGGTCGGGTCACTTAACTGCTTCGTGCTGCTCTTTCCCCAGCGGTAAAAAGAGGACAGTGCTGCAAGGCAGCTTCCTGGAAGGTTTGGGGCCCTCCCTCTCTAAAGAGCTTCGAAATCTTTTGCTGGACCCTGAGCACACATGAGAGCAGCTGAGCTTTGCAAAAAAAAAGGACCAGGGATTTTGATGCCAAACGGGAGGGCCCCGATTCCCCACCTTTTGAAAAAGCAGGTCCCTTTCCAGTGTCTCAGGTTGTTCCCCCCAAAAATAAAGGAGCCTGACTCACTAATAACTTCTCCAATTCTTGATAGAAGAATATTATGGATTATTAGATCAGACCTCGCTCCAGCCTCAGACTGTCTGTGCACGTTGGCTGGTACCACAGCGGCATGTGCTATGTCCTCTCTTCATGGTAAGTGAAACCAAGAGGTTCACAGACTGCACACCAGGAAAATGATGGAAAATCCACCTCGTCTACAAACCTGCGATCCAGATGGGTTAGGCTGGCACTGGGTTCCTCCTGCAGCGATAGAGGGAGATCATTCACACAGTCCAGTTTTGACCCAGGGTTTGAGCCCCCTCGTTCACCACAGGGGTGCTGAGATCCAGGGTTTGCATCTGGGTGAGATCTAGAAAGATATGCAGTTGTAGGAAATGCCTGTCTCTCTTCCCAGCCTTTCGGGAGCCCTCCTTTATCTTTGGGGGTGACGGTAAAGACGGCCCAGGCTCCAAGGTGAGAATTTATTGCCGCATCCGGCCATTCATTTCACTTTGCATCTGTGAAGCCAGCTGCACCATCAAAGGCTTACGGGGGAAGTGGGAACAGACCAAGCGGAGAGAAAAAAAAGAGCCAGCCCAACCCTTTTATCTCTTTCATGAGAGATTTACCTCCACCTGTCTCAGCTGCTCACCTACTGCAGGCTTCCCCTCCCACCCCTCATCCTCTAATTACAGATTTCATGGTTTAATGAGTTAACCCATCTAACTGGTAGGCCTCTGAGGAGGCTGCCACAGGAGCAGGACTGTTGTTGGTTTAATCCCTTACAGGCAATGCCTCGGCGAAATGCTTGATGGGGAAGCAGTGCTGCAGACCCGAAAGCAAGGAGGGCGACGGGTGAATACGCAGTGACCGTGGGCTGCACCCTTCTGGAAATGCCATAGAGACGTGGAGGGCATCGTTCCCATTTCCTCCTTGAAGGAGCTGAGATAACGCAACCGGAGAGACACCACGTGACGGTCTCATGAAGGTCCCGTGAGGATGCACAGGCACCCAGCCCCTCCTGCAAGCCAGTTGGGAAGGGGGGCCAGAGCCTTAGAGGATCACAGAAATGATGGCGTTAGGGACAGAGCCTGCCCGTCTCTTGGGGGTCCCACGTGCTGTCTGGCATGTCCTGGGAGGGCTCAGGATTGCTGCAGTGCTTGCTCCATAGATAGCAGAACAACGGCTCTTGGCAAGCCCAGCACAGCATGAGGCACCATCCTTCTCCTGTGTCCTTCAGCAGATGCAAATAGGGATGCAGTCGCCTCGGGGGCCCCTCGTGGAAGCGGAGCTGCATCTACCAGGCGGCAGAGGAGAGCATGGATGCAGCGAACCCCAATCTGCCCTGGTCCGTGTCTGGAGAAGGGCTAGAACCGGAAAGCCCCGAACTAGCCTCGCAGTCCCAGCCCCACTAGGCCACGCTCCCACCTCACAGTATCATTTCGGCTCCCCCATCCCCTTCCCCATTATCCACCATGTCCTTCTCAGGTGCTGCGAAGAGTGCATATTTGCAACCCCCTGCCAATGTGTTCTCCATTATTCACCACGCCCGGGTTTCTCCCCTTCCACCGCCCATTGTTCCTAATGGTGCTTGAAATGAACCTGCCTTCTGTTAGCTCTCTGTTGTCTGAGCACAGGGCCATCCCCCGTGTCATTAGCACGCTCGGAGTGGACACGGGGCCCAGACCGTGGCAGTGGCACAACACAGCACAGCGTGGCCTGGCCTCTTGGAGGGGAGAGGAGGTGTTTTCCATCCACGACTCCATGCATTCTCCGAGTGCCGGGGACATGGCTTGCGTGCGGGAGTGTGAAATGCAGCGAGCGTTTGTCCTTGGTTGCTGAAGGGCCGCCGAATGCCTTCATCCGGTGCTCTCCCCCCGAAAGCAAGAGGCAAAGGAGGCCCCCCTCCTGCAGTCGCACCCCTGCGGACAGGCAGGAGCTTACGGGGAGTCCGCTCTAGCAGCACTTAGTCGCGTGGCATTTGCAAGGTGAGGCTCCTAAAGGGCCCTCCTGAAATCCTGGGGCAGGAGCTGCAAGTGGAGCTGGTCTAGTAGAGTCACCTTAGCACAGAGACGGTCTCAGGTGCAGCCGGTTGACAGTCTCTGGGGAACAGGAAGGGGGTTGAGGTGAAGGTGAGGGGTTTCTGAACAGCAGGACAAGAAGCTTTGTGATAATGTTGGGACTGCTCCCGTGATTTCAGATCCCTTCTCCGATGTGAGGAGACTTCGGCGACTGGATTGCAGCCTCGCTGGGACTGGAATGTGCTTCTCTTCACCCAAAATGGGCAGCCAAGAGCTGGTGCTTCTGCCATGGGGCAAGACTGACCATCTTCCCCCTCCACTCTTGCAGCTGGAGGTTGTTGGGAGATGAGCTGCTTGGTGGTTTTCTTCCCATGGCTGAGCTCATCTCTTCTCTCCTGAAAGCTGAGGCAGCTACGGAGGGGCCTCATACAGCCTGGGGATGCTTACACCAGTGGTGCTGAGCTGGGGGCTGTGTCCTTGTTCTGCACTGGGACAGAACCTGCACCATAGGGTCCTTGGCCCGAATCTAAATAGTTAACAGCTCAAGTCCATTTCCCAGGCGTGGCTTTCCCACGCAGTCACAAAGGCTGGTGTCAGGCCCCACAAATGATGTAACTTAACAAAAATGGGGTCAATTGGGTTGTTGGGTTTTTTAATTCCTTTTATTTATTTCTTTTTTTTTGCATATTTTGAGGTCAAATCTTCGAGCTTTTGGCCACAACCAGTTAGGGGCTGGATCCTGCTGCAACCAGAGCTGAGGGCTGAGATCCCAGGGGATAGACAGGATTGCAGGGTTTAATTCTGCCACCAGCCAGTGTAAGACCCCTGCTGCCACCATGAGAACTAACGATGCTGGATACCCACAACTGTGTTTTACATAATGACACATGCTGATTGGTTTGACTGGTTTGATTTTAATACATTCTGGTATCAATTCAGCACCAAAGCTCTGAGCACCTACATGGCGCTCATCGGGCAGTCGTGGCAGTGCGGTACAGTGGGGAGAGCACTCCAGGGCTCAGGAGACTTGGATTTAATCCCACCCTGGATTATGTAAATGCATCCATAACAAGCCCATTGCTTGACCTGAGAAGAGGCATTTCACCTTTCTTTGCATCGGTTTTCCTCTCTGTAAAATGGAGCTAATGATATTCTTTTCGATCCACTCCTGCAAGGGACCAGATAAGAGCTGGGTGGTAGTAGGGTATCTCTGACTACCAACTTTTAAAGCCCTGGCTGGGGTGATGTAGTTGGGGCTGGTCTTGCTTCGAGCAGGGGGTTGAACTAGAGGTGATCTCCCGAGGTCCCTTCCACCCTCATTTACTATGATCTATGATTCCAGTAGTAGTAGTAATAATAATAATGAAGAATTAAACAGCCTTTGCAGCATTGCAGTCAATTCCCACAGGAGCCCAGCCAGCCAGCCAGCTCCCCATTCATCATCTAAGCAGTACAGCCTCAGCCTTCTCCAGGGACCCTCTCAACCTGTCGTCTTTTGCAGCGTCCCTAACTTGAAGCAGTTTCAGACCGAGTCCAGATAGAGTTTGCCAAGTCCAGATTGAGCAATGAGCTCACATGCCCCTTCTCTTCAATAGCAAAAATTAGCAAGAGCGTGTATGAGAAGAGCGACTAACATTTAGTGGGCACTTTGCATGAGGGAATACCTGACTAGCATGTGATTTCCCCCAAATAGGCATATAGTGAGGAGAAGTGCAATTGCACAAGTGTTTTGTCAACAGCCCCAGGTCTCTAGTAGATGAAAAGTCTGCTCCGTAGGCTCCAGAAAACACACATAGCTCCATCCAGACCCCTGGGATGCACGGAGACCACAGTACGATGAGCCCCTTCTCCTCTGGCATGTAGCTGGGCAGGATGCTGTGATCGTGCGCTGGAATACCCAATGGATTCACTCTCCCTTAGCGTAACACTTACTAATGATTTCAAAGGCAAATTATCCCTCCGAATGTGAGCAGGTTTTCACACTGATTTGTACTGGATAATTTCATTAGCCCACCATGTCGGCTGCCCTTGGTGTTGCCAGATCTCGTTAGCATCAACTGCCTTGACGAGACAAAGCTTAGTGGCTTCAGGACTGTAGATACCTTACATGCCGGGGCCATATGCATTCCCCCATCAGCTCCACACATGGCTGGTGGGGGGGTATCCAAAATCCCAAAGTTTGAAGGGTCTAGTTCGGCCAAATAAAGGGTTAAAATGAGATCTTTCAAAGGCTCAGACTGTCAAATGTTCAGGGCAAAGCTTGTAATCACTAGCTTCTCACCCCACTTCAGACAGGAGATGAATCCACATCCTTCGTCTTAATCCCCCAGCCGGAGTCTGCCTCTTCCTCTGCAGACAGGAATGCAGCCCACAACCGGAGTCAGGGTGGGAGAGCTTGGCCCTAATGAAGTGCCCATCGGCAGGCACCCATCGCTTACCCCAAACAACCAAATGCCCCACTTTGCACCCCTGCCACCCTCCTCACATGTCCCCAGTCCCCAGCCTGACCCACAAAATTGTGTCCCCACCAGAAACTCAGCCAGAGACCCTTTGTGAGCTGTAGTGGATAAAGAGATTGCAAGCAAGAGGGTCTCTAAATCATCCAAAGGAGGCAACGGTCCACAGTATTGCCTTCTGGTGCAAGGGGTTTGCCC